AAAAGGGAATCTGGAGAGGATGTGGTCACAGAAGGTGTTAAGACAGGTACAGGGTGTGTATCAGGGTGTAGGTTAGGCATGGAACACATATAATCTTTCAAATGCACAGGTAGATGATGTTCTTTAGTATATCTCCTAGGTATTTGGTTGACTTCGGGAAAAGATGGTGAAGGTTAAGGAACAACTTGTGATGGATTACAGGGAGAATTCACAGATGAATTGTCTATAGGTGAGACTATAGAGGGGACATCAAAATTATTTGTTGATAATTGAGTAGTGTGAGTATCAGAATAGTTATGGATACCAGAATGTACCTCAGTGAGTGGTATATCCTGTGTAAAAGAAGTAGGATCAAGAACTGGAGGAAATTGAGGAGAGGAATCAAATACAATAACAAAGTGGAAAATATGCTCATGAAAGGTCACATCCCTGGAAATATGAATCTTCTTAGTGGCCAAATTGAGAACTTTGTACCTTTTTGTCTCATAAGGGTATCCCACAAAAACATGGGGAGTGGTTCTAGGTTCAAATTTATCTCTATGAATCTTGGGTATAATGGAAAAACATAGGCAACCAAAGCTTCTGAGGTAGGAATAGGTTGGCCTTTTATTATAGAGGACTTCAATTGAGCATTTATTTTTTAGGTAAGTAGTGGGGAGTCTATTGATAATATGAGTGGCAACCAAAACACACTCACCCCAATATTGTAAGGGTAATTTGGACGGGAAAAGGAGTGCCCTGGCAGTTTCTAAAAGGTACCTATGTTTTCTTTCTACGACCCCATTTTGTTGAGGAGTGTAGTGACATGTTCTTTGATGAATAATCCCTTTTGACTGAAGGAAAGATGAGGTTTCTGCATTTACAAACTCTGAACCATTGTCTGAGCTAATGTACCTTATATTTGTTTTGAAATGAGTTTTAACTAATGATATAAACCCTTTGATAACTTGCAATGTATTGCTCTTATTGGTTAAGAGGTGAGTCCAGGTGGCCCTACTATAGTCATCTACTAGGGTGAGAAAGTATTTATAGTTGTCATGAGTGGCCACACTATAGGGTCCTCAGAGGTCCACATGAAGAAGTTCAAAAAGAGAGGTTGTGGTACTGGTTCTGTGAGGGAAAGCTAGTCTGAGTTGCCTGGCCATGGGACAAATAGTGCAGAGATAAGGTTGCTTAGTTGAGAATTGAACATGAATGGAGGATATCTCTCTCATCTTGACAAAAGGGACATGTCCCAATCTAAAATGCCATAGTAAGATCCTTAAGGAATCAACTTTCACTATTAGGCGCCAAAACGCTCCTAGTTCATCCAAAACCCAATCCGGACATACGCCCAAGTCCGAAATCATCATGCGAACCTGTTGGAATCTCCAAATTTCGGGTACGGGGTCGTTTACTCGAAATGTTTACCGAAGTCAAACTTGGCCTTTTAAGCCAACATTAAGGAACCAAGTGTTCCGATTTTAACCCAAACTCTTCCAAATTCCAAACCAACCATCCCCGCAAGTCATAAAATTATTTAGGGGAATGGGGTTCTAGAAAGCAAAATGACCAGTTGGGTCATTACACTCTCCACCTCTTAAACAAACGTTCGTCCTCGAACGGGTTTAGATTCATACTTGAAGTGCTAAGTAAGCGTGGATATCTGTTCCGCATGTCTTTCTCGGACCCCAGGTCGCCTCCTCAACTGGTTGTCCCCTCCATTGAACCTTTACCGTGGAAATCCTCTTAGATCTCAATTGGCGATCCTGTCTATCAACAATAGCAATTGGCTCCTCCTCATACCCCAAGCTCTCATCTAGGTGAATAGTGCTGAAGTCTAACACATGCGACAGGTCAGCGTGGTACCTCCGGAGCATAGACACGTGAAAAATCGGATGAACTCCCGATAAGATGAGGGGTAAAAGAAGCTCATAAGCAACCTCCCCAACTCGCTTCAACACCTCAAATGGGCCTACAAACCTGGGGCTTAACTTACCTTTATTTTCGAATCTCATAATACCCATCATCGGCGAGACTTTCAAGAGAACCTTCTCGCCGACCATGAATTATGCATCCGCGCCTTCTGATCCGCGTAACTCTTCTGTCTGGACTGTGGTATGAGAAGTCGCTCCTGGATCAACTTTACCTTCTCCAAGGCATCTTTCACTAAATTTGTACCATATAAATTAGCCTTACCAGGCTCAAACCATCCGATAGGAGATAGACATCGCCAACCATATAAAGCCTCAAATAGAGCCATCTCGATGCTGGACTGATAGCTGTTGTTGTAAGAAAACTCGGCCAAAAGAAAAAACTGATCCCACTGCCCTCCAATGTCAATCACACATGCTCTAAGCATGTCCTCCAGAATCTGAAATGTCCGCTCCGATTGCCCGTCGGTCTGTGGGTGAAATGTTGTGCTAAGTTCTACACGGGTCCTCAACTCACTCTGTACGGCTCTCCAGAAATGGGAATTGAACTGAGGGCCTCTATGTTATATGATGGAAACAGGCATACCGTGCAACCGAACTATCTCCCGAATATAAATCTGAGCCAACCTCTTTGAAGTATAGGTAGTCATAACCGGAATGAAGTGTGGCGACTTGGTCAACCTATAGACAATGACCCAAACTGCATCAAACTTCCGCAAGGTCCACGACAACCAAACTATGAAGTTCATAGTAATGCGCTCCCATTCCCACTCAGGTATAGGCATCTACTGAAGTGGTCCACCTGACATCTGGTGCTTATACTTAACCTGCTGGCAATTCAAGCACCTAGCCACATATTTAACTATGTCTTTCTTCATTCGCCACCATCAATAATGCTTCCTCAGGTCACGATACATCTTCGTAGCACCTGGATGGATAGAATACCGTGAAATGTGTGCCTTCTCTAGAAGCCTCTCTCTTAAGCCATCGACATTAGGAACACATAGGCGACCCTGGAGTCGCAGAACACCATCCTCACGAATAGAAACCTCTTTGGCACTACCATGTAGTGCCATCTCTCTAAGAACTGCCAAATGTGGATCATCGAACTGGCGAGCCTTGATCTGCCGCAATAATGAAGACTGAGCAACAACACACGTAAGGACTCGACTGGGCTCTGAAATATCCAACCTCACAAGTCTGTTAGCCAAGGACTGAATGTCCAAAGCTAGTGGCCTCTCCTCTACTGAAATGAATGCCAAGCTACCCATACTCTCTACTTTCCTACTTAAGGCATCTGCAACTACATTTGCCTTGACCGACTGATAAAGAATGGTGATGTCATAATCCTTCAGTAACTCAATCCACATTCGCTGCTTCAAATTGAGATCCCTTTGCTTCGACAAATGCTGTAAGCTGCGATGATCAGTATAAACCTCACATAACACCCCATACAGATAATGCCTCTATATCTTAAGAGCATGAATAATCGCTGCTAACTCTAAATCATGTACGGGGTAATTCTTCTCATGAATCTTTAGTTGACGCGGAGCATATGTAATAACTCGCCCCTCCTACATCAATACACAACCCAAGCCAACGCATGAAGCATCGCAATATACCATATACATCCCCGATCTGGAAGGCAATAATAGAACCGATGTTGTAGTCAAAGTTGTCTTGAGCTTCTGAAAGCTCGCCTCACAATCATCGGACCAACGGAAAGGAGCATCCTTCTAGGTCAATCTAGTCAAAGATGCTGCAATGGATTAAAAACCCTACACAAATCGGCGATAATAACCTACTAGCCCCAGGAAACTTTTGATCTTAGTCACTGAAGTAGGACGTGGCCATCTCTGAATTGCCTCAATCTTCTTGGGGTCCACCATAATACCCTCTCATGATACAACATGCCCCAAGAATGCTACTGACTCTAGCCAAAACTCATACTTGGAGAACTTAGCATATAGCTTCTGCTCTCGCGATAACTGAAGCACTACTCTCAAATGCTGCTCGTGCTCCCCCAGGCTACGTGAGTAGATCAAGATGTCATCAATGAAGACAATAACAAAGGAATCAATATAAGGCCTGGACACCCTGTTCATCAAGTCCATAAACGTCGCTGGGGCATAGTCAAGTCGAAGGACATCACCAGAAACTCACAATGGCCATACCTAGTACGAAAAGTAGTCTTCGGGACATCCGAGTCCCGAATCTTCAGTTGATGATAACCTGATCTCAAGTCGATCTTAGAGAACACCCTAGCACCCTACAATTGGCCGAAAAAATCATCAATGCGCGGCAATGAGTACTTGTTCTTGATGGTAGCCTTGTTCAACTGGCGGTAATCAATGCACATCTGCATAGTCCCATCTTTCTTCTTCACAAACAACACTGGTGCACCCCAAGGTGACACACTCAGTCTCACAAATCTCTTTGCTAACAATTCCTCAAGTTGCTCTTTCAACTCCTTCAACTCTTCCGGAGCCATACGGTACGATAGGATAGATATAGGCTGGGTACCTGGAGCCAAATCAATACAGAAATACATATCACGATCTGGTGGCATGCCTGGAAGGTTAGAAGGAAACACATCGGCGAACTCCCGAACTACTGGAACTAAATCAATCATCGAAGACTCTGTGGTGGTGTCCCGAACATAAACTAGATAAGCCAAACAACCCTTCTCGATCATGTAAGCATGTAATTTTTGACCCGCGCAACTTTTAAAAGTAGTATTTTTAAAAAAATATTTACTTATTTTTATTTTAATAGGATTTAGCCTATTTTTCACTTTTAATTAGTCTAATAGTAGAACATAAAAGTCGAAAATACAAAAATATTTTAAATTTTATCTTTTATCTTTCTATTTAAGTTGAGGCCATTAATCTTTTGTAGTAATATTAATCTAAATTTGCTATCATTCTAATTAACTTTTCTTTACTTTCATTTTAATATATAATCTTTGAAAAATAATGGTTTCATATGAATATAAAGTTCATGTTAGTTAAAGTCAATTACTAGTATTCTAGTAGTATTTTGCTAGTTATTTTTAGTCTTTAAACCTAATTTAGAAGTCCAACAAGACCGAAACCATTACCCCTTCTTCTTTAACCCTTACACTTTAACCTTTCTTCTTAACCTATACAAGACTCAAAGAGAGACACGACCAAGTCCGGATCGCCGGCCCACCCCTTCAAAAATTCCATGACCTCTTTCTCTAAACTTACCCACACCTAATCTGTCGCCCACCCCATGGGAGAACCTTGAGATTTTTCATTCACTCACATATAAGCGCACATACACGCACAGTAAGGGAAATCAGAGGAAAGGGATTTGTGGGTTTTGTTTGTTTTGATTTCCAACTTTTCCATTTTCGGATTTTTTGAGTTCTTCGCTGAAAATTAGGTGAGCTTCTTCACTTTCTTTTTCTTTATTTCAAAGATAAAAAAAATAGAAAAATACAAACAAACAAAGAAATACATTGCTGCCCTTTCTTCTATTTTTGATTTAGTTTTCAAAGACGGAGTTTGATTGAGATCGAGGTCTTTTCGATCCCGTGTTCTGTTCGTAGCTCAAGGATTTGGGAGGTAACATTTCAGATTTCATTTGGCAAAATATATTTGAGTTCCAAGTCGAGGTCACCGGTTAGTTTCTGCCATTAATTTAATCAAAACAGAAGTGAAATCTTGGCTTTACTTTGAGGTTCCATCTTTTGCTACTTTTCTATTCCCTTTCTGGTAATGTTGTTTGTTTACCTCTTATGTTTTCCTGCCTAGTACGAGAACTTTTTATATTTACCATGATAGATGTGCATAATTACTTGTCCTTTGATTGTTAATTTGGTATATTGAAGTAGCAAAGTCAGTTGTTGGGATTGACTAAAGAAAGTTATTTGACGGAGTTGATTTAAGAAAACTTGTGTGATTGGTGTTGAGTCCGTTACAAATTAGGTGAGAAACAAATGGGTTATGGGAGTTGGCTTTAATAAAGTGAAGGAAATTGGCCTTAAATGATCTTGATGCTTTTATTCTACTCATTTATTAATTAAACGCTAGTAGCATGTTTTAGGCCGATCACATTCGGGTAGGCAAACTTTAGGCTTTCTTCCTTTCATTTGAGGTAAGAGGTCATCCATTAGTTCATTTATTCGGGGAATGCCCCGAAGGATTTGTATATAGTTTATTCCGGGGAATGCCCCGAAGAACTTTGTAAATATTTAGTATTTATGATTTTGCTTTACGCTTTTCTTTTATTAGATGGGGACGATCTCAAGCCTCCTTTTGTGTTTATTTGCCTCTTATGTGTTTTTTTTACCTCAATTTGAATATTCTAAAAGCCAACTAGATCGAGTACGCAACCATGATTTTCACTGGACTTGAGGAGTGCCTAACACCTTCTCCCCGAGTCAAATAAATCCTCTTACCCGATTGTCTGGTGCAGACTTAGTTTTAGAGTCTCCAGTAGTTTAAAAGAAAAAAAATTATTTTTAGAAAAACGGTGACCTGACACACCGAAATCAATGTCAGGTGGCAACTCTGAGTTAATCCTTTTGAACACAAATTTTTGTCACATTCTAATTGAAAACCCTTTTCAAGCTTTACAGAAATCTTTTATTAATTTAAGAGGGTTAAGTGAAGTTTGTTAAAAAAGGGTATGATAGACCATATGTCGAGCCTTCAGAAAAGAAATAACCCGACTAGATGTACTAACTGAGGAACCCTTCCACTCCAACCTCAGCAACTCTGGCATCGCTAAAGTAACAGTCTTGGCATGGCAATCTAGGACGATGTGATATGGGGATAACCATTCCATGCCCAGGATGACCTTAATGTCGGTCATATCAAGCAATATGAGATCTTCTCTAGTCTGAAAACCACAGAATGTGACCACACAGGACCGATAGATCCGATCCACAACCACATAATCGCCCAAAGGAGTGGACACATAAACGGAAGTACCTAAGGACTCACGAGGAATATCCATGAAATGAGCAAATAGAGATGACACATATGAATAGGTAGACCCTGGATCAAATAGTACTGAAGCATCCCTACCGCATACGGAAATAATACCTGTGATAACGGCATCTAAGGCCAAAGCATCTGACCTAGCCGGAGAAGCATAGAATCTGGCTGGAGCGTAGACTGGCTGGCCTCCACCTGACTGAACAGTAGTGGCTGACCTCCCCCTGTCTGGCCTCTACCTCTAAGACGACCCCTACCAGTCTGTCCTCTGCCTCTGGACGGCAAGATAATAGTGCTATAATCATGTCCTACTGACCCTACTGCACTACCTTGCCCCGAAGTCTGGGGAAGGTCCTCTTCATGTGACCCAAATCTCCACACTCGTAACAACCTTTCGGCACTACAGACTACTACCCTGAAGTCTGAACCTGATGGCTTGAATACCCACTAGAGGAACCCTAAATGGTTGGTGGGCAGTTTGAACTCTCCGGTATAGCACTAAAGTAGGAGCTGAAGAACCCTGGAGACTTGAATACCCACTGGAAGAACCCTGGATGGCTGGCGGGCGATAAGAACTCTTTGGTATGACGCTGAAATAGGGGCGCGCTGGAGCACCTTGAGGAGGTGGTAGTGCTGAATACGGGGGCCTGCTGGGCTGACCCTTCCCAAACTGACCTCTACCCCTAGCCGGGGCACCTCTAAACTTTCCAGAGAATCGAGCCCTCGTGTCCTGCTGCATATGCTCTCTACCTCTCAGAAGGTAGCACTCAATCCTCCGAGCAATCTCCACTACCAGCTGATAAGGAGTCCCCATCTTGACCTCTCAGGCCATGTTGGCCCTAATACCAGAGTGCAGACCTGCAACAAACCTCTGCACTCACTCTGCGTCAGTAGGAAGCATCATCAGTGCATGGCGAGACAACTCAGAAAACCTCGCCTCACAGTCGGTCACTGACATTTGACCCTGCTCAAGCTGCTCAAACTGATATCGCAACTCTTCCCTCTCAGAGGGTGGAATATACCTATCCAAGAATAGTTGTGTAAACTGGCCCCAAGTAATGGGAGGAGAACCCGCTGGCCTACCAAGGACATAAGACTGCCACCATCTACAGGCCCAGCCCTCCAGCTGAAAAGTAGTGAAGTCAACCCCATGAGACTCCAATCCTCATGTTGTGCCGTCTGTCCCTGCACCTATCAATAAAATCTTGGGCATCCTCATGACGCTTGCCTATGAAGATATGAGGGTGTACCCTGGTACATCTATCTAATAACTTTTGTGGATCACCGTCCGCAGCTGGTCTGGGAGCGGGTACCACTTCGCAACTGGTTGGGCCCCATCTGCAGGAAGTGCACCCGGAGTTTGATACACTACAGCTGCATGACCAGGAGCCTGAGCAGTAGGGGTCTGTGCTCCCCCTCCCGCCTGCGATGTGGCTGGGTCTGCTGCAAATAAAACAGCTTGGGTCATAGAATCCATGAACCACAGCATACAGCCCATGACCTCCTGAAAGCCCGATGCTATCATAAAGTACGCCGGGCAAGGCTCTGCTACGGGCACCTCGCCCTGCTCCTCAATACTAGTATCCCCTGCAGGATCCACTGGTGGTGCAACTAGGATAGCTTTGGGACTCCCTCGTCCCCTACCTCAGGCCGATGCCCTCCCCCGACCTCTGCCTTGGCCTCTAGCAACGGGGGGACTAGCTCCTCCCAGGTCTGGAATGTCTGTCGTGTGCGTCCTCACCATCTATGAGAGAATAGAAGAAGGAAATTTAGTATAACATCAACTGCACGATAGAAGATGAATAAATAGTAGTTTCCTAACACCCTATAGCCTGTCGAAGATAAGTATAGACGTCTCTGTACCGATCCGCAAGACTCTAATAGGTTTGCCTATTACTGCTGAGAATACGTGAACCTAGTGCTCTGATACCATGTTGTCTCGACCTAAATTCCATTATAAGACGTGATGGAGCCCAACTCCGTTGTTTGGCAAGCCAACCCTAAGTCAACTAGTGAGTTCTCATTTATTTTCATAAACAATCTCAACATTTACTTAACTTTAAAACATTCAATAATTAACAATTTTATAAGGCAACTGAAATAGGAAAGACTAAAGGAATTATAATAATAGAAATACAACCCAAAAGTAATAGTCTACTAATGAGTGTGCCAGGATCTAGTGTCACAAGTACGAGGGCAACTAGTAGAATGTATAAAAGAATATAACTATCCTACTGCCTGAAATAGAATAGACAGTAATAACAAAAGGAGAGACTCCGGCATGCTGTTGAACGACTCAGAAGAGGCAGCTCACCGTAGAATCTCGGTCAAGAATCAGGAACGCACGTCGGACGGGTAGCTAGATGCCCCTGCCTCAGATCCTATATAATTAAGTACAAAAGCGTACCATGAGTAAATAAATAATATGTACCTAGTAAGTATCCGGTCTAACCTCGAAGAAGTAGTGAGAATGGGTCGACTTGATACTTACTAGGGTAAATAATAATATAATTTAAGTGTTACGCTAAACATGGATGTCATGAATTAAATAACAATTTGTAATAGGAAGTGATGGGTTCATTCATAAATAATATCCAGTTTCTGACATTTCAGTTAACAATATATATTTCAAGGCATTTAAAGCAGTTCAAATCACACAAACTACCAAGCATATAGCATGTGAAAATAATTCCAAAGTCGTACGACCCGATCTAACATAATAATAAATGTATCTATTACCCCGCTCACGAATCACACATGTGACGTGGTCAAATACGATTAAACACATCAACCAGTCAATCAACAATTCATCAGGAAAGCAATTACCCAAAGTAATGATAACTTCTCTTTAACGGTTAAGAAAATGATATTTAACTTTTTAGAAATTCATTTGGCAAGTTCAATATGATATACGCAATTTGAATTGACATAAAGTTACAAGTACGACAATAAAGCATGCTTTTGGGTCCTAGACTACCCGGACAATTAGCATAATAGTAGCTATGTACGGACTCTCGTCACCACGTATTACGTAGCCCCCACAGATAGTAACATATATTTATTTAATTCACCTATGAGGTTAATTCCCTCTTACAAGGTTAGAAAGGAGACTTACCGTTCCCCAAAACTTACTTCCAAATTCAAGAATGCGCACAAACTCTCAAATCGGAGCCGAACGATCCAAAACTATTCAAATAGGGTAAGAACTAGTCAATATATGCTCAAGAGTTCATATTCTAAATATTAAAGTAATTTCCCAACCCTAAATGCAAGGTTCCTAAAATTCATCCCCGGGCCCATGTACCCGGATTCCGGAAACTTTCAAAGAAAGTCGTTACCCATAACTTTAGGATCAAGAATATATAATTTCTACTATATTCCACAACAAATTTTGTGGTTAAATCTCATTTTTATCAAAACCCTAGGTTTTACTCTAAACCCATAATTTTCACTAATTTACATGTTGTAATCTACCCATAATCTATGTATTAAACTCACATTAAGTAGAAATAACTTACCTCACAAAGCTAGGTTAAAATCCCCCCCTTTTGAAGCTCCCAAATCGCCCAAGAATGGAGTGAAATGTATCAAAAATGACAAACTCCTATATTAAATAAATGCAACTGCCTTTAGCGATTTCCGCACCTGCGGTGAAGGGACCACATCTGCGGTCTCGCTTCTATGGAAATGGGCTGGACCAGCTGGGACCGCAATTGTGGTCAGGTGACGGCTTATGCGGTTCCGCTTTTGCAGAAGAGGAGTCGCATCTGCGGAACCTAGGCTCCTCCCTTTGGGCCGCATCTGCGATAGTTTAGCCATTTCTACGGGATCGCACCTGTGGCTAGCCAACCGCAGGTGCGGTCATGACAGCAATTGGAGCTTCAGCTCTTTCTCAAATTTTCAACTTAGCTCAAGCCTCATCCGATTGATGCTCAGGGCCCCGGGACCCCACCCCAATATACCAACAAGTTTGAAATCATAAAACGGACTCGCTCGAACCCTCGGAACGCCCGAAACAACATTAAAACTAAGGATCACACCCTAAAACCAATTGAATCAAACATATGAACTTCTAGTTTCTCAATCTAATTCCAATGTGCCGAAACGTACTTGTACTACTGATAAGTTGGTATTTTACCAACTTATCTTGTCTTTAAACTTATATTTTTGCTATGTTTGAGTAATAAAATCTCGTGTTTAATGTCATTTACTCTATATTACAGGTTCTATGTGATTTAGAAGTGATCTTGAAGAATCCAAGTGAAATGAGTCAAAAAGAAGCTAAAAT